TTCCTAGAGGGTGAGATGACACATGTTTGGGAATGGACAAACACATGCATCCAATTTAGGTCCCTGATTACATATGGCAATTATTAACATTGCTTTCTTCTATAGCAGGAAACTTTCACAGCAAAGGAGAGGCAGCCACCTTCTAGGCCACTGTAGGGGCAATTGGTTCAGGGCAAGAGTCGATCCAGTTATCACAAGACCTCCAAGCACAAACCACAACCATACTTAATTATCTTTCTCACTCTATGTCACTTAATCAAAACTGGGCAGGATTTGGATTTTTCAACCTAATTACTATTTGAAAGTCTGGAGAGGATTTTCCTCCTTTGTGTCTAAGCTCAATAGGTATGGACCAGTATAGTTCCTCTTTTACTCTGGTGGAACATTTTGGGTGAAATCAAGTTGAGTTGGATTACTAATCTCTAATTGGAACAGATTTGCAGGTTGACTAATGGTTGAGAACCCCTTAGGAGGCAAAGCATCAGAGTAGGGCCCCACGTTTTATTAAAGGGAGAAAGTGGTAAGCAGGGTTTGGAAAATGATGATCAATGCATATACAGTACACAACTATAGAGCACAACCAGTAATTTGCTAAGAGGTTTGGTCTTGGAGGATGAAGCTAGAAATTAACAGAATTATTTTTCAATGGGCTCAGATTGTATATTATTATAAATTAATACATAGAGCTGATCGTTATCTATTTGATGTCAATCTGTTTTGTGGATTTTTTTTATTTGGGGGAGGGGTTGGTCCACTAACATAAATAAATTGGATTAGGGCTGTACCTAAATGCTGTTAAAATAGTATCAAATAAATAATGGAATTAAATCCAGATTTCCAAGTTTACTTTAGGACAGTGCTTCTCAATCTCTGTTCCTTCACTTGTTTGGGACTTCAGCTCCCAGAAATCTCAGTTTTCTTAATAACTGTTGGAAATAGTACAGAGAGATGATAGAAGGGGGATTTGTACAAAATGGCCAGCAAATGTTTAATTTAAGCACTGGGGGTGGGGAGGGTCAGAGTGAGCAGAAGCTACTTCCCCAAGGGGTTTAAGCATAGACCATGCCCAGGAGTCTCTTGGCATAATGTTCCCATTTCACCCCTCCCTTGATAAATGACAGACAGCGATCATGTTCAATGTCTCAAATTTCTGATATCAAAGCATATATGTGGAGGTAAAATGAAATCATGGGTCATAGATTTCTAGCCATGATGCCTGATGAGCGCTGAAAGGGCACTTCATCACCATGGAATAAAAACATTCTGGAACCAGCCAATGTTTCACATTTTGAAGGTCAGAAAGATTTTTTTTAATTACTAGACTCAGTGTCCCAGTAAAATGAGATAATTAGTGTTGCAGGCTGCCTAATACTATACACACACACACACACACACACAAATATATATATATACACACACACACACACATATATTCTTCATAATTGAGAAATAGCATTTTGATGTGAGAGACCCTCTAAAAACTACAGTGGCATCCGCTTCTGAACAAAATAATTAATTCCTCTCAAACCACCACTGTTGAATGGCTATCATGAACATCATGTCATTTTAATAAGCCTTTTTTGCTCCCAGAGACCTACTGTTAGCATTATGACAAGGTGAATATGGAAATAACTCATCATAGTTACTGCATGCTTAAGGCTGAATAAATGAGCCATACTGAATTGCAACTGAATATACTTCTGACCTTTGGGATGAACTGTAAACACTGACAAGGATTACACAATTCAAGTGGACCGAAGAAAGAAAAATAATTTTAAAATCTATTAGAGTAGATTCAATCCTGTTAAGAACCTTACTTTTCACTTGGGGGTCAATACAATTAAACCCAACTGCAGTTTTAAACAGGTTCATGTTTACTCTAGAATGTAAATATGTTCTACCCTTTTGGAGTTTATATAATGCTTTGTAATTCTTCCATGACACACATTAAACATCTATCTTTTATAATCTAAAGTGTTCTTTTAAAAAATGAATAGGTAATATTGTTCATTTGGTACTTTGGCTATAGAGGAAGGGAAACTCTACAGATTATGTGAAAAATCTGCTATGCATCAAGCAAAGAAGGGGAAAATCACATTAAAATGTGTTATTTAAAGAATCACCAAATATTTATCTTGCTTGGCCCAGGTGGTTTGTGGCTTAGGGGTCACTGCCCTGTAATCCAAGTGCATCTTCATGGCTATTAACAGGCTCCCATGTTGAATGGTTTGCATTCTCACAAATAAAACCAGAAAATAGGTCCCTTTAAAGACAAGTGGTCAATTCCCCTTACCATATGTATACGAATGTACCAAAGGCACATTCAACAAGCACAAAAATCAGGAACCTAAGTGCTACAGAGCTGACTATACTGACTACAAATAAAGGTGTACAAAACCAAGAAGGATTTCATGAAATCTTTGATCTAGCTGTTTCTTTGAATGTCTTAAAAAACGGAGAAACCACGTGACTGTGAAAATAGGAATTCACACCAAAACAAGATGGAACTGGTGAGAATTCAGGGGAAACATTAAAGGGATTTCAAGAGAAAGATATATAAGCAAACCAAAACAATTTGCTATTGATATAAGACATGAACGATAGTAAAGCACTCCTTGTGTATGCATACTAAATTTAGCTGTTGGTCACAAGTGGAGGCTATTTAAGTCCTGGCACCTGTCACGTTATCACTGACCATGATTTTACAGGATTATTGTGATTGTGGGGTTGGCACCTATCAGTTTGTCTCCTCACACAACCTTTAGGCCTTGAGCAAGTCAACTTCAATATTTCACGCCAAAAGCATTGCATAAATAAATATAAAACTGATAAAATAGAGGGAGCAAAGGAGGCTAAATAATTTTAGACCAAAAACAGGCAACATCAACTGCATTGTCTATAGTTTTAAACATTTCTTCCTCTGTGCATGAGGCAGGGCATTGTGGGCAAGCATACAGATGCAGAGTTGTATATTCTCCTCCACAGTCACACAAGGTGGAGGATTCTTCTAGGTAGTGCCATTTTGCAAGGTTGTCTTTTGATCTTCTCACTACACTTTTGAGTCTGTTCAGGGTCTTTCAAGTTGCCCACTCTTGGTTTGCCCCTGGAGGAAGACCCTCATGGGGGGCCATCCAATTGGGATTTCCTAGTTTAGCTGCCCACAGGGATACTCTTGCTGTTGCTGGGGGAATGTTAAGAGGAGTCGTGGTTCTCATTAAGCTTTTCCTTGATCTGTGTCTACTGGGAGGAGACTGATAGCCATGCAGTGGATGGCTTTCACAATGTTCAACCTTATTTCTCTCATACTTGGCAGCAACTTCCCATTCCACATCAGGTCTCATGTGACCTCAGAGAAATACGCATCCTCCCTTTCTAAAATAAACTGATGCATCCTAAAGTCATATTTTCTAGGTCTACCCTCCAAATTACAACAATTCATGGTGAGTAACTCATCAGACTGGATTGTCCTCGAGTTCAGATGTTTTTGTTGAAAGAGAGACGAGAGAAGTTTTTCATAGGTAGCTAACTGCGCCAGCTGAGGCCCCCCCCCCCCAGCAGATTTTCAAGGTTTTAATTTAAGTAAAATGATCCTTATTTCATCCAACTTAATGTGTGTAGCCTTCTTGTTTCAGGGTTGGCCATCAATATGATGTGAATGTACAAACAAGCATAACGTTGTACAATTAGCATAGTGTGCTTTTAATAGGGCCATTGTTATAGCCTTCACAGAATTGGGTAGGACTAAGCAGCAAGAAAAATGAAATTCATTTTTCTTAAATTAGAATTTCATCACATCACTTGGATTCATGCCTGTCAGCGTAGGTGACAATTATCAGGCTGAATAACAGAAATCCTGTTCTCCAGAGCTCAGCCAATCCCATAAAGCAATGCACATCTGAACTTTGCACACTTTAATAAATGCCACTTAATGAGACTAATCTCAGTGCATAATGTATTTATGCAAGTCACTGGAAGACGGTGACATCTCGCTTGGTAGGATCTCTGTGAGAGCCTAGTTGCTTTATAACTACTTAAATCCCACCCGTTCCTTTTAAACACAGTTTTCAAGTTGACTCTTTATGCATCACAGTGTGATTAAACAGAGAGACTTTTTTAAAAAAGCACTAATAATAATCAGTGTGCATGGGAAACCTTAGTCAATGACTCATGCTGGAAATAGGTAATATTTTCAGGATTCAAAGGTGAATTGTCCCCAATTAGAGCTAAGTAATGTTTCTGCTTCTGTGTATGGAATGTTACTGTGTCCTCTAGATTTACCCTAATTAAAAGAACATTCCAAAGGTCAAAAGCTAACTTGCATTAATAAATTATAAAGGTCCCTAATTGCAGCTGGTGCATTATTTTAATTGCTCATAAATTCATGCTTTCAAAACTGGCATCATGAGCATTACATAGAAAGCAAAATGTCTGCAATGCATGGCTGGAGGCACACATTCTATTGATTGGCTCCTTTTGTTCTAAATCTTAACAAGGAAAAGGAAATGCTAGGTGAACAGTCTAAAAGACAACCTCAAAACATTTGATTGCCCCATTGGTGCAAATGTGGAAGCTCCATTTAGGTGCCTATCTAAGGATATAAAACATTTCTGTTTAAAGCATTCATTGACAGTAACTATAGATAAATACTTGGGATTTCTTCACCATAAAGCCAATACTGAACCCTAAAGAACATGATACACAAAAGCTCTAAGGGATCAAATTGATCTTTTAGGAATCATGCTTGGAGAATTGAATTCCTAGATTCACATATGTTCCATGTAATTTACTCATTTTGATCATTTCTAATATAATTACAAAATTAACCGTTTTATTTAGTAGTGTTGGTATTATATAAAGAAGAAAGAGGCAGAGCGAGATAGAGAGAGTCATGCACCTCCTGAAATATTATTTTCCCATGCACCGTGACTGGCAGTTCCATAATTGTGGTAAGCTGCTTTGACCAAGGTTTCTATAGCAACCACCCTATAGTCAATTCTTACCTGTTTTCTGGTCATCCACTGTATTGAGCTTAGTCTCGGCAGCTACTGTTAAAAGGTAAATGTATAATGGTTAGCCCTGTTAGTGCCCACATCCCACATGCATCCACTCTTTATATCCTCTGTAAAGTTAGAGGATACTGGAAACATCATTCTCCATGCAAATATGCAATATTAGGCAGAACATCTTAAGGAAGAGGGGAGTGGGCGACATAAAGCCCCAGCAACAAACCTAGTAACTATCATGCATTGTGTCAGTCACTTCCATATCACAGGCAAGGACAATGTGTTATTGACATGCTAATAATCATAACTAGCCACGGCATGTTGCCACCACAGCTCTGGCGGTGAAATGGGATTTAAACACGCCACTGGAGATGCTTTTTTTTTTTTCACAAAAAAAGTGTTTACCTCATCTTCCTTCTGAGAAATCATACATTATAATAGAAAAAAATATGAATGGCAAGTTTCTCTAAAATTAGCATTTCAATGAGGGACACTGCTTGTCTGTTCTTTCACATTTTCTTGAGCATCATACACTTTCCAAAATACAGTCCTGTGGTTCATAATAATGGCTTCATGACAAAGAAGCTGCTTTTTATAAAGTATTTTCATGCCCACCTAGCCCTCTTTTTCATCCTTGTCCTCTGTCTGAATTGATATTTTTAGAAGCTTCAGCCTTAGAAGGATGGTGAAAAAGGGCTAAAGAAACACAAACTTTTAGCGTCAGATAGCAGCATCTTGTCTACCGTAAGCAGTGTAACATTGCTTGAATTGGGGAAAAATAGATTCTGCTCTAGCTGAGCCTTTTGTAGCTGTGTATGCTGCTTACAATGGGAAAGGATTACAGCAGCTGCCTCCAGAATCCCTTGCTGAGCATGCACAAACAGCAAAAAAGGAAAGAAAAGTGGAGAGCAGATAAGTATGGCTCACCAGCTACCCCCCACCCAACATGAGACAAAATGCATAGATCTAAATGTTCAATTACCAAATGGAAATCATAAGAAATGTGGAAGTAGGTGAAAGAAAAAAAAATCTCTGGATGCATTTTGGGGGGAAAATCAATCTATTATGGGTTGCTGTGAGTTTTCCGGGCTCTATGGTCATGTTCCAGAAGCCTTCTCTCCTGACATTTTGCCCGTATCTATGGCAGGCATCCTTAAGGTTGTGAGGTCTGTTGGAAACTAGGCAAAATGAGATTTATATATCTGCAGAAAGCTCACTTACCTAGTTTCTAACAGACCGAACAACCTATGAGGATGCATGCCACAGATGTGGATGAAACATCAGGAGAGAATGCTTCTGAAACATGGCCATACAGCCTGGAAAACTCACAGCAAACCAGTGATTCCAGCCATGAAAGCCTTCAACAACACAAATCTATTATCTCTAGAAGGTTAAATGTGTTTTTGTTTCCTTCACAAGGTTCACCTGACCTGCTTATTTCATTACACATGTACACATTGTTAGTTTTAGATAAAATGTTTGCAGAAACATTTTAAACTGCTCCACTTTATTTTCTTGTGAAGAAGGAATCTATCCCTATTCTTTCAATGTTGTTTATGCATCTTGTAATACATTTTCTATTACAGAAGAACATGTCTGCTTCATTGAATGAATAAATGAGTATGGATTCAAGTATGTGTTAGACTAGACTGAGGCAGTGCCCAAGGTATGGAGCAAGACATTAATTTCCCAATTCAGTGTCTTGATGTTTGCTGCTAGATGAGATGGCTTGAGCAGGAACAAGAATTGACACTAGATCTGAAGCCAGACATGGGCTTGGGTTACATGCAAAGAAAGGTCCTATTGAGAAGATTCCTTATATTTATAGTAGGTCAGAGGCTGCCGGCCTTGGTATATTTTAATTTTCTTCCTCACTTCAATTTTTTTTAAAAAAAACTTCATGGGGTGTACTCCCACAGTTCTGTGCCATTCACACAACTAAGTCTCAGCCTTCAACCATGAAGGCATAGGATTACAATTCCTGGAGTCCACAATAGGACATGACATTGAAAATAATGGGATTGACTTTAAAAGAGACTGGGAATAATGGGACAGGGTATAAATTAAAGCAACGCGAAATATTCTCAGACAGTTAGGGTTATGTTGTAATCACTCAGTAAGTATAAGGCCTTATTAATGACAAAAATGACAAGATGTTAGTTATTAAATAATAATGATTTGTTTGGATAAATAATGTGATTTGTTTGGATTTCCCATTTTATGAGAAGTATTAAATAGTGTGCAAACACGCATAAGGTCCTATGTTGAAGTATCATCCATAACATGGATATTCACAACATCTGTAACATGGATGCCAAACATGAACACTGATAGATTTATATAATGGACCCAGGCCTGACTGTATTAAGAATTCTTCATGCCATATTGAATCCAGCTGCATGAGCAATCAACTGTTTGGCATAACAAATAGTATACACTGAAAAGTCAAACAACAAACAATATAATTACGACCTGAAGAAACATGTGGAAATACAATACTGGAGGAACAAAATAAAGATCTAAACTCAATACCTAAATCCATGCTTTTGGATTTCCGTGTCTTAACAAAGTCCAACTGGCTGGCATCTGAAAACTGCTTTGTTCGCTTTTCTGACATGCTCTGACGTCCAAATCCCTCTCGCTGGAAGGCAAGCTCTGGATCAACATCTGGACTCAGAGTGCTGTATAGAGAAAAAGGGGGGGAGAAAACAAAGTGTTCATCTATCATAGTTGTGGCATATAATATTTGCATAAAATATTACCCTCCCAAATTGGGAATTTGCAATACTCTATGCTATTTTTTTACAGGTAAGTATCTTAATATATAAAAGACCATCAGTATTGGGATCAGCTTAAGAAGCCCTCCTCATACCTGCCAGGAAGATTAGTCAAGTCATCTTCTACGGTACCTTTATGCCCATGCAGATATTTATCTATCATTTGTGTCCGTTTTTTATTTTTAAAAGCGAAAACCAGTTTTTCAATTCCTGCTCAGCATGAAACCTACCTTTGGCATGTGGTGCCTCAGAGGAAAGCAATGTCACACACCTTCAGTATATAAGTCTGGCTAAGAAAACCCTTTCATAGGTTTGCCTTAGGGCTGTCATAGTTTAGAAACACAATACTTTCTGCTACTGTTCGTTGTGCAATAAATCTTCCAAACTATTTAGATTACTTATGTTGATAGTTTTTACTCGCTATCACAAAACTGTGGTTTTAAATATTTTTATAAATGTTTCTCTTAAGTAAGCTGTTATCGGAGTTTTAATCCCAAACAAAAGCCTAAAAACGCTTCCTTTTTATCCTATCAATCCTATGGGGTTTAGGTTTGTATAAAGTCACAAAAGTTATGCAGTGAAATTTCATGGCTGATTGGGGATTTGAATCTCAGTCCTTGTGGTCATAATTCTAGCACTTGTGGTCACATGTCATACAAATGGCAGCATACAGAGGAAAGAGAATGAGTGAGCACTAAATGGCCATCACTAATACTGCAGATAGATGAAGACAAGACTTAGAAAGGCATCTTAGTGGGAAGTGTACAATCAACAATTAAATCAAGGTCAATCCATAAAGATTGGCACCTAATGTATACTTCAAACTGAGACCTTTCAGTGGCTCTTCTTGTTGTCCTTCCAAGTGTTCCAAAAGTGCCAGCATGTGAAAGAGCATGTGATGTACTGATACCAGTCTCAGGGCCATAAGAAAAATAAGGAAATAACCCCACAGCCCCCCTTTTCTCTCAAGGAACCTAAAACTACACGGAAATCATAAAGCTGGAACACTGCAAATAAGAGGTCACCCCTTAATTCAGGAGACATGATGTCTAAGAACAACTTTTCCTAGTTTGGGGGTTTGTGACAGTTCATGGAGATTATTCAAAGGCATAGCTCTGATAGCCTATTTCAGCATCAAAAGAAATAAAGGAATCTGGTAGCACTTTTGAGACAAAATGATAAAATGATCTTTCTAGCACAAGGTTTTGTAGACTCCAGTCCACTGATATCTTATGCCTTTTCTTGGTTAATCTCAAAGATGGTATAGAATACAGTTATATCTTTTAATTTAATGGAAAGTCATGTGTGCAAAACTTCCACTTTGTAGCTGCAACATTTATAGCAACCTGTTGTTTTTACTGGAAATCTTTTACCTAGCTTTTTAACCTCTGTATGTTTTTTATTGATTTCAAAACATTTTAATTTTTTACCTGATTGAAACCCTGTTTGGCATATTGAATAAATACAATGCTCATTATGAGAATATCATTAAAAATAAATAAAACACTCACAAATTTTAACTGATGTTAGGTTATCACAGTGAACAAGCAAACACAACATGCTATTATTATATTGTTAACCACATACACGTTGCTTCTTTTGAAGTATACAACTGGAACTTTGGCAGCTGAAGGCCCTCCCAGATTCTCCCATGTTTATCTTTTAATGCACCTTCTTTGATTTTCTGGCCCTAGTCTGAGCAACCCTCTTCACTGAAATGTACCAGATTATCTCTTAGGATACAGAGATCAGGTGATCCCAAAGCCTTACTTAATAGCCAGTTTTTAAAATTTGATATAAGGTTGGCCTCTCTGATGGACTGAAATATATGTTCTCCTAAGGGATTCCTGTTAATGTTTTACCCCGAATGTAGTGCAAATGACTGCATTTTATTTGGTAGTCTCCAAATGTTAAAATGTATCCAAAAATTTGGAAAAAATCTACATTGAAAAAGTATTATTAAGTAAGATTCCCAAATAGCGGTTCTTAATATTCCAAACCGATGTTAAAGTCACTTCCTCCCTATTATTATTGTAATTCATAAAACCAACAAGCAGCAAAATGTATTATAACAACTAAGACTCCTGGAACGACAGTTGGCTCTTTAAAGAATGTAACCGTATTGTGACCCTCCATGTTATTAAAATTCCACTTATTAATCCTGTCTCATTGTCCCTTTGTTTTCATAACATTTTCATCAAGGATTAGGGAGATATTGTCAGGCTGGAAAAAGCTTACATTTTCGGCTGTGATTTAGAACAGCTGCTATTCTTGTTTGGATAACCCTTCCTCCATATTCTTAACTTCACCCCTTGGTGCCTTGCAGCAAACCCAACGAATACACCTTCGTGCTACAAGCTTTCCTTTGTCCATTAACGGCAGGAAATTAATACAAAAATCCACCCCCAAGAGCTGTTTATTTTATTTTACTTGGTTTATTTTTTAACAAATAGAATGCAGTCAACACAAGTAAGGCTTCAAACTGATCTGTCCCTCTGCCTGCCTTTTTCTTTTCTTTTTTTTGGTAATTACATTGCTGTCTTTGAGAGGACAGGCATGAAGGTGGCTGCAGAAGAAAATTCATGCTCCTTAATAGCTCTTCACTCTTTCCTCTCATGCTGGTAAAATGTGCAAGTAGGAAAATATTCTTCATTTGTACGTGCAAAAGCATTAACAAACGGGTTTTTACATTCTGCTGTGGTTCTCTTCCCACACTCACTGGAAAAATCCACATTGACACAAGCTATTATACAGAATTTTGAGTGTAGTTGAATATGTTCACCCCTGTACCTCAGATTTTTAGCTGTAAAGTGGCTTCCACACAAAGACAATGATGGCTGTTTGAAGGGCTGAGATTGCAGTTTCACATCTTTGAAATGGACAGGCTTAGCATGCAAAAGAAATGGAAAAGGAGACCGAGAAGGGAACTGTTCTTCAGATAACAATTAAGAGGATTTTAAGACAGGTTAAGAGCAATGTCACTGAACACTAATGCACACCATGTATAGAAAAGGGCTGACTCATGCAAATCCAAACAAAGAGAGAGACTTGCTGGGGCTAATTCTTATTAAGCTATCGCTGATGCAGTTTTATCAGACCCAGGAGAACCTTCTCATACTTCAACTTGCTGGGGCTAATTATCACCCCAGCCTTAACAGAAGAAGGTGCCACAGAGAGATCTTCTGTATTGCTTATTGCTCAACATAATTACAATGCTTACAAATTAATGTCTTCTCTTGGATTAGCACAGTTAGTGCTACCGAAAATTAGGAAAGATTTATCCTAGAGAAGAGGATGAACAAAGCAAAATGTAAGCTATGTCTTTAAAAACCTTTATTCTTCAAGGTGAAATTCTTCATCAACAGGGTTCTATTTTTATTCAGAGTGTGTATCAGAAACTTCCATGAATTCACAGTCTTGATGAGAAGGTCCCTTGTTTCTCTACATGCCTTAAGAAGTAGCACGTGAACATTTTTACATCCAGTTCCTTACAACTGCTGCCAAAATCATATTCACAAAGAAGAGACTTGGCAGCAGGTTGTGTGCATATATTATTTGCACAGATCACAATCAAAGTTTGCAATTTACAGATAAGGAATTTTCTACCAGTTTCTTCCAGTACTTGGGAAGACTGCTACAAAGGAATGAGTAAATATCTTCAACTGTAAATACACTTGTGTATATACTGCATATCGTTTAAGACTAGTCTGGGTTGTCCATGGCATCACATTGCTGATATCTATGTATGGTTGCAAATGCTGGGCAGTGATGAAGGCAGACAGGAAGAGAATTAACTTACTGAAATGTAGTGCTTGGAGGAGCTATCAGAGATTGCCAAAATGATAAATAATCAGGCCCAAGAGCAATCAATCCTAAACTCTCACTAGTAGGAAGATGACTAAGATGAGATTGTCATACTTTGAATATACGTACTATGAAAATTCATGATTCATTAGAAAAGACAATAATGTTTTGCAAGATGGGAGGCAATAGAAAAAGAGAAATATCTCATTACAGGTAGATGGACTTAATCAAAATATTCATAGTCCTGAGATTTGCAAGAACTGAGTAGGGGTGTTGATAACTGAATGACAGGTCCCTCATTCAAAGTTAACTCAATGTCAGTTAAGAACAACAACAACTGTTCTTTTTTATCTTTATGCAAGCACATAAATGGGAGACTTCAAGATGGTGAGAGGTGTTTATGGTGTCAAAGAAAGAAGTACGTTGACAACCACTCTACTAAATGTTCTCCACTGCCCAGTGTTTTTAACAACTACAGAGATGTTGAAGAAATGGCTTTTTTGAGGAGATCAGAGCAAATAAACAGAGGGTAAAAGTGGCTATAATGCTAGAATAGATCTGCTTCATACATGGAAGAGATTGTTCTGCCAGTCCATAACAAATATTCTATGTTAGAGGTCAAGGTCATTTAAGATGTAACAATTAATAACATCAAATAAAAACCCTACAGTTTAAAAACCCTACATAAATGCAGCAGGAAAAATCTAAAACTAATCAGTTAAGCAAGAAGCAAAAGAACACAATAGAGTAATCAAACACAAAAGATACCTATAAACATAGACTTTGCCTGGTACCGAAAGAAAACCAAAAAATCCCAATAAACTATGTACATGACTGGGCACAGGGGGCCATAATTAGAATGCATGTGTCATAACGGAACCAAATCTGTCTTCCATAACCACCTGCTCCGCTGAGGATACTTGGAAGAAGGAACAACCCACAAAGGAGATTTCAGCTAGTGGATAGATCAATGTGGGAAGAACAAACTCTTTTAAAATCAAAGTTCACCTTCCATTAATCATAAAGATTTTTTTTAAAGGACACTAGACCTTACAAGTTTCTTTTACAGTTACCCTAACTTTCAAAAGACTTTTACTATGCCCCATGAGGGGATTGTTATTCAAAAAGAACATATCCAAAGAATCCTTGGCAGCCTACATCCATCAAAGTTGTTCTTTCAACCTGGGCCAGAATTTTCTTCTACTCTGTTTCCCCTGGTTAGGAACAAGAAGCTGAGGAAGAAAGATCATGCTACTCGGTTCTCAGTAGTGAAAAAATACAGAACTCAAGAGCACATTAAGGAGGTGATAAACATAAGAAATGCAATAAACACACGAATATAGGCCTTACCATTCTGTGGATTCAATAGTGGCTAGTTTATTCCAGGCTCCTCCATCCACGGTTGCAAAAACCACATCATCATGGGAACTGGATGAAGACTGGTCTGAAAGATGTGGAGGTAGTACTGGCAATCTATCATCTTCAATAATAACTATGTCCTCTTGGGGCATGTTGACAGTTGGAGAAAGATGGTATTTACCTGCACAAATGGTATGTGGAACAAATAAAACTCTACACATTGAACAAGCATTACAAACTTTATGCCATTGCAATTTCCAAATAAATTGATTTCAATACAAACTTTTGTTGTTTTTATAATGCAACTCAAATAAGTCACTAATGTGAATGACAAAAGTATGCAATAGATATTTAGAGCAGGGAAAGCTCACTTTGCTGACCAACTCAAAGTGGGTAGAAGAAATCCAAAAAGGGAGATGGACAGGAGATCTTTATCTTCCATTATGTGGCATTTTAAGCATTTCTCTTCTTCTCTAGTGTCATTTCAAGTCTGCTTGAACATTGTGGCACCATTCTATATAGTGTTACCAAGTTCCTCCCATGTCCACAACACATTCTACTTCATAGGTTACAATGCAATTCATTAGACACTGCTACCAATACACTGCATCAATGTTAATTTGCTCCATCTGCAAGCTATGGCTCCATCTGCACAGGAACAGTATGGATACATTTATTAGGACAGTGGCAGGAGGTGCCAGAGCCTTTCTTGTTTGCAGTAATGTCTCTTAGTCTATGACACACCAAATGTCATTGTTGGCTTAATGAAATATGTTTAAAATTGAGTACTAAACAGATACAATTAAAACCATCATTACACGTTGTAACTCGGGGACTGCCTGTATATGGATTAAGTATAACTTAAAACCACACAGCAATATATTTACTCCATTAACTGATAATTAAGAGAGTAAAACATCAAATCATCCGGGCATCCCCTGGGCAACGTCTTTGCAGATGGCCAATTCTCTCACACCAGAAGCGACTTGCCGTTTCTCAAGTCGCTCCCGACATGACAAAAAAGAGAGAGAGAGAGAGTAAAATTGCTAGTTTCTGATCACATCAATAGAAAAACAGTTGGAGAACTTAAAAGCAGTGAGAAAGAGGTCACTTTTTGAAAAAGTTGGAAAAACAGATTAGAAGAAAAAGTGCTCCATGGCACGTAGGCCCATCACTGTCAACCTGAAATGAATGTGTTCAAGTTTGCATAGCAGCTAATTCTTCGCCCAGCAAAAGCTTCTTTGATGGACAGGTTAATGTTGAGCCCAGCAATACACTCCTTTCCAAGCATAATGCCTACAAGATTGTTAACTCTGTGGCTAATAATGCCTCCAAAGAGCTGAATGTGAAACAGTATAACCTCATGGCATTTTACAGATGAAGCCTCCAAGGTTGAGAAGCAAAAGTAATTCAGTAGCATGTCTAGCTCTTTTCTGCACTTCTTAATATTTCAACAAGAATGAATGATGACATTTTAGTAGTTGCATTGAAATGTAAAAGAAAATGCATTTCTTTAACTACAAATTGGAAAGTAGATGGAGGGGAGGGAGGAGAACAACTTTCAGGTCAATACTAAACACAATTGACCCATGAGGAAGACTCACTAGACCTTCCTACTAGCATCGCATGCATACAGAACTCAATATATCCTAGTTTTAACCAGCTCTTTCCCATCAGAGAAAAGAAATAAATCAGTAGAATACCTGCTTCCCTTCTGTGTCCCACAAATTTCTCCAATATAGAAATACAAGAGATGGCCAGCTATTGTGTACTGGCTTGAAAATGTTCACTGGATGCCTGACTGGTGATGATGTTGGCCTTATTTTGCTGCCAAGTCAAACTTGGCACTGCACCAAAATGGCTAATTCTTATGTTAGATAGCTGAACAACTGTATGGAAGAGCATCTTACGGTGACAGAGCAACTCCACTTAATTCAAGGGGAGGGGAAATCAGTATAGGCAGTCCCCAACATGAACAAAATAGGTCCAGTAGATTTGTTCTTAAATTGAATCTGTTTTTGTCAGAGCAGGTACATTTTTAAGTGTAACATCAGCCATATATAAGCAAACTTTCAAAAGCATAGGGAAGAATGAGCACCCTTATGGTGTTTCTTTTGCTATCTGTGCCCCTGTACAGAAGATTTCACCTTACTTTCTGTCCCTGTGAGAATTGGATTTTGAAAAAAATGGCTTGTTTTGGAAACAAGGACTAGTGATAATGCTTCAGTTGAGACACCTTTTCCTCATTATAACTCTTTCAGGAGTGAATTCCCTTTAATGGGGGTAGATTTTTCTCACTTCCTGTTGTCTCATTCTTAAATATGAGTCATTTGGAAGTCAGGGACTGTCTGAATTGATTTAAGTAGGTAATATAGAAACAGTTACCCCAGTTTTTAGGGAACCCTCTTGTCGTCAACTCAGACATTATTTAAGCTGATCACTTTCCCCCCTTAGATTAATCATGGGTCATGCAACCCAAATAGGACAAAGGAGCTAATTTTACGTAGAGCAAACTAAAGCAAATAGGACAAAGGAGCTAATTTTACGTAGAGCAAACTAAATCCGACATCAAACTACAGGTGAAGAAACTGTTAGAAAACTACTTAAGAGCAACCTGAAAGGATGGTTTGGATAAAATGTGTGTGACAATGTTTTGTGGGTGTTGAGCTGCTATTTATCAGGCTTCTGGCTGTTTAAGTTACTGGATTGTAAGACCTGTAATCATGCTTCAATGCAATGATATGTCTGATATGTTTTAATATGTTTAATCATTTGAAAGACTATTTTAATTGATATGTATTTTTTTTACAATTTTATAATATTGTGTTTTATTGATATTGTTATAATCTGAATCTGGCATTGACTTATTGCCATAGTTTGTAAGCTGCCCTGAGTCCCCCTTCGGGGTGAGAAGGGTGGGGCATAAGTAGAGTGAGCAAGTAAATAAATAAATAAATAAATAAAATACTAATTTGCAATTAAGCTACATAGGAAGCTTCTGATCAACCCCTCACCACTATTCCAGAGAAGAAGAAAATACATGAGTCTAAGGCTTAGCCTTGGGCAAGTTCTCCTTCATTTCTGTGTTAAAATAAAGAAAAAGGTTTCCATATGTCAAAGTTTTTTCTCCTGACAATGAGGATTTATGCAGCACTAAATCATATAGAAGGATTCAAAACAAGGCTAAAGTTGATTAGCTTCTTGTTAGACCTTCCTGTAATTTAAAGTTTCACATTGACCTTGACTACAGTAGAGAATACAGTTGCTGAAATAAGTTAGAACACAAAATACCCAGAAGAAGAAAATGACCTCAATGCCCTCAATACAACATTCTGGCTGCAATTAACTTGTATTTCTTTACATTTGTGATGCACAAGTGGTTATTACAAAGAGTACAATGCTTGAACTGATGCATGTACGTTTCAAAATGCAGCCAAAAGTTCAAGAACCAGAATTTGATTATTTAATTTATACTTTGCTGGTGTTTTCAGGTTGAATACAGGATAGAGGACATAATATGTATAATCCCATATTCACACATCTTCATATTTACTCCCTCAATCCATCTTTTAAGTATCGTTGCCCCCTCACTTTGACCCTATAGCCATTTGCTGGCTGGTGGAGTACAGAAAATAATCACTGTATGTTTTGATACATACACACATAAACATACAGACAAACACACGTTTTCACATTTTTGTAATTCTGAGATACTTATATTTGAATATTTTATAGATAGATACAGATAAAATAAATGCATATGGTCACAAATACATAAAAACACTAGTTGCAAATTCCTTAAATATAATAAACAATGCAAACAGAAAGCTCAGAGTCATGTTGCAGTGCCAAATAACAGATCTGGATCAAATGGAGGCAGGGCCAGAATTCCAATATTCAGCCTTGAGTCAGTGACTACTCCTGTCTTACCCTAGCATAGGTCAATGTGATTGTTGTAAACAACAAAGACAAAAAAGGAGGATAAAAATCATTAAACCGAGTAAGTTGTAAATACTCTTGATCTTCCATACCCACAGATTTTGCATTCACAGGTTCTACAATCTATACCTTGAAAATATTTTTTTAAATGCCATGGTATATAATATGACAAGCACCCAAGGATTTTAGTATCTACTGAGCCCTGGAAACCAAACCCTACTAATAATGTAATATAATGGGCACAGTAATGCTAGAAAAGACACAGTGTACCTTCCTACAAACTGGTGATTTGTAGTTATGCTGGACTACATTCACAATTATTCTCAGCCAGCATGGCCAGCCAAGAGCTTGTAGTCAATGGTGTGGGTGTTAAAATATGTATTGTAGACATTGATAGGAAAGACTGGCAGAAAAGAGTATGTAATCTATACCAATTCTATAAATAAATTAATATAATTTCAAGTGATAGAAAGACTTTAAATAGAAGAAAGAATGGTTCTGGAAAACTGAAATGTCTTGTCAATATAGTCGTGTACATTAATGCAGAAGTGTCTTGAAATGAGCGATTTCTTTCAGGAAGATGGACACACAATTGCTGTATATTGATTAACTCTGAAATCAAATTACCACAGGTAGCTCGGTTCAAAAGCAAGTAAGTAAATAAAAAACCAAGCAAACACACTGAAATTTTAAGCTCCAAATTAACCTCACCATAACACTCAAATTAGTTGACTAAAAATAACCTACTTTTAAAAACACTGAACCTCTTCACTGCATGTGTATTTATCAATTTTCATCATAAACTTAATTATTGTGCAGAGATTAAAAGAACTAGCAGATTTCAGGCTGCTGAGATTCTGCTGGTGAAGCTCAATGTATCTTTTCCGACTAGTCTCAGCAGGTGGCCACAATGAATGCTTTGGGGTTTCTTTTTCCATTTATATACAGCAACGCAAGAAACACAGTTGCAACTAGGAAATAATTACAGGAAAATGTTAACCTTCAGAGAACACGAGGAAGATCCCTGTAGGAATGAAATCTGTCTAAAGCTACAACTTAAGGTATCATTTCTTCATTATCATCAAAGTAAATGTTGTATCCTTATTAATCCCTGTTAGACCAATGGAACACCATGCTTACTTGTTAACATCATTTATTCTCTCTCGTCTTGGTCACTACTACTCGGAATTTGTAAGTATGTGAGGACAACTATTTCTTGGGAAAGTTTCTAAAAGCTGCCCAGACACCTCTTATTTTGCTTATTTTAATCTTACTTCATCTCCAAAATATGATATATTCAACATTATGATTCCTTCCAGCAATCTAGTGCATCAACGCAAGACAACATGGAGATATCAGACACCTGATGTAGCTGCTGAGCAGCCAGCTGTTCCTGTGCACTAGTTACATCTCCAAACATGAAGTTAACATCCTCCTGGCCTCAATGGAATAAGTCTGCACTAAGATGTATTATTTAGTACATGGGAGCTCATAAAGTAGTATTGCTGTGTTTCCCTCAAAACCAAAAACCACCCCTACAAAATAACATCATCCATAAAATGTTAGCTACAATAACAAAGTTCTGGCAAGGATTTCAGAGGGCTGCAGAAGTTAGGAAATCTATAATGTAAGGGTATGTATATACAGTATAGAAAATTCCAACAAGCTAAGCAAGGGCTGAGTTGATCTTGAAATGAAGCTCACCTGGTCTTCTCTGAATAGGTGCATGTTAATTATTATTTTACCATATTTATACCCCACCATTCTCACCCCAAACATAACAGGGAGGTGGGGAATTGGATTTATCCCTTACATAAATTTTTGGTCTTCAATTCTTATTTTATTTCTGACAATGAGGGGCTTGGGGATATGTAAGTCCAGCAACAACCATGAAGCCACAGGTTGTTCATCTCAGATATATACAAAAGGTATGAGAGAAATGTAATCAATTTAATTCAAGCTGGTGACCCAGAGAACATACTACAGGAGACTGCGGCCCTCTAAAAATACTAAATTACTACTTTCATGAACTCCAACACTGAAGAAGTGCCACTCCCACTGATATAAGTGGTGGGGCTTGGATTTCAACAGCTTCTGGAAGAACTCACTTTTTAAATCTGGCTTGGTACCTTCAAACTAGTTAAAAATAAGTCCCCCTTGAAATCTGATTTTGATGGGTCCGCAGCAAGAACACGTAACAATTCAGCATGTGCTTGAAGATTCCTCTATATAGCTAGTCCAGGAGTTATGGGAGTTGCAGTCCCAAACATCTGCAGGTTGGAGAAGGCTGGAGTACATGGAAGCACCCACTTTAGGAAACGTTCCTTCCTACCCCAGTGTAAGTGTCCCGTTTATAAAAAGCAATATATAATTCACCCCCTGAAAACTATTGGCATGTTCGTGTGTCATTGAGTTGCACAAAACACCAGCTAAGCCCATACTTGCATTGCTTTTAGCCCATGAAAAAAGCAAAGATCAAGGGACGCAAGATGGTATTCAAGTCCCAAAAAGAACCTTGCACACTGTGATCTTATGCATCTGTTCAAAGCTCATATCAACATGCCTGAGATACGGAGTGCATGAATGAAAGTTGCAAAAAGGTAAGCAAAAACCACACTAGAGCTCCCTTGCGTTTTTTGTACATCTCATGTGGTTAATCTATTTGATCCATGCACCAGTGGGATTCCAAATTGATGACAGGGGAAGGATTTCGTGGGGGTGGGAGGAAATTCATTTCCTCAAGTTAAACAAGGACATTAGGAATAGATATAGACCTGCTTTGTGCAAATTCAGAAAAAGATTTCAAAAATCCATCTATAGATATTGCTGTCCATAATGTCTGTGTCAATGCCTGGAAAGAGAGCGTTTTAGCAACTGTTTAGTGTTTCAGGCTTGTAGATGAATTTAGAAATACATGGAATTTGTTATGCTGAGTATTATACCAATCAGAAATCATTCCATGTTTTAAAATTTGTAAGTCTGCGTGAAGTAAATCCCATTACGAGTTATTTGATAAAGCCAGCTGCTTCTGTGACAAAGCAAGTCTTTATTAACTAGAACTGTTAGTGGGGTGGGGGGCAACAGCTCTGCATTGCTATACAGCAAATACTAATAACCTCATTATCCACTGGGGGCCAAGCAGACAGCAGAACACTGAATTCAAACAAAGGATGCATAAAATTAGCTACATGGTTCTAAGCCTAGGGGCTCGCAAGGCACATAAAGCTAGGGGGAGGGGGGCACAAACAAAGAGACACCCCAAACAAATACCACACTAAACACAAATTGGATAAGATTCACATGAGCATATCTTTTTATATTTTTTGTTTTGGATAGGGAAGTGAAATCAATGCTGAAATACAAGTGATACATCCCTAATAATAACATTCATTGACTTTACATTTAATGAAGCAGCACCAGGCAGGTCCTCACTGACCAGTATAAAGCATTCATTTCCACCTCAGACACACATGCACAGCAAAAAAACATTTCAAAATGTTCCTGTGGTTATCACTTGCTCTGCGATCCAAGACTTCATTTTATCAATGTATTGATTCACATTAAGGAGGCTGTACTAAACTCGAGACGAGGAAAGAAAGAGTAAGCTTTTAAAATGGGTTGCTACAATTTTCATGTGCCACGCTGCCCACATACATAATGTATCAAATGTCCATCTACAAAAACCAGGAAAATAGATGATAAACAACACATGATTAGCTGAGTCCGCTTGACTTACCCATTATCCTGTTCAAGGCAGCATTCCTGGTGGGCGAATCATTGAGGCCTTCAATCCCAGTGTACAGCGAATGGGAAATCCTACGTTCCCTGTCAACCAGTATTGACTCAATAGGGAGCTCTAACCTCGGGGGACTCCCAGGTGATTCCAACTGCATGGAAAGAAAGGGAGGGGGAAATCAGTGCTGAAGGTCCATTTAACAGCATGGGGGGACAATAACAACTTGCCAGAGGCCCAGCCCTGGCTGGGCACCAAATGAGCTAGAACTTTTCACCCTGGACCACAATAATTTGCATTGACAGCACTGCTTAATGACTAACTTTCTGTGCCACTTTACACTGCATCTCCCATGGAGCCTTGTCGGACTCCATCCCTCTTCACAGGAAAACACACACACACACACACAAACCAGTAACTCACAATTTAGTTTATATTTATTACACATTTCCTTGGGTATACCAGTGTTTTAAAACCATATGGCTAGATGGTTTCAGAACAGGATTTTGGGGGAATTTTTTTTCGGGGCTGGTGTGTGTGGGCTTTTTGTTTGCTTGCTTTTGAGGCATGGATGCATGTGGAAGAAGAAAAATGATTGAAACAACATGAAATACATTGTCATTTGGAATATGGTTTCCCATCCTTTTCCAAATGGATCGATTTGCTTTCATAAAATCACCAGATTTCTGTCTTAAAATGTCACACTGAACATGGATATATCAATAAAAATCAATCCTGTTTCATATTATACTATGGTTTAGAATTAGTTTGGCTTTTTACACAGGATTTAATAAGGTCAGTGGCTTGTATTTGGTGATAGTAGAAGTGTATGACGTGAGAGGGAGAAGAGTATGTACAATGACTCTGTATGTCTGATTCTAACTTCACATTGTTGCTGGAGTGGCCAGCTTTTCTGCCAGCTTTGTTGCACACGCAAAAAAATTGCATTTTGTCCCACTTTCCCCAAACTCCTTCAGGCTAAGCTGTGGCTTTCAAAGGCCCTTGCCCAGCAGGGTGCCTCTATTCAGAATGCCATGAAAAGTCAGGGGTGAATAAGAAGTAGAGACATATATATGCTTGGATGCCTTATTTAAAAAGATGCTAAAACATGGTCTCTTCCACTGTTTTGATTCTCCAACTGCCTACATGCCCCAAACAGAGGGGCAGTGCAGAGGTAGCACTCATGATTTAGTGTTGTTCTTGTGTGCATTCAAGTTTTTTTCTGACTTATGGTGACCCTAAGTCAAAACTGTCACATGCTTTTCTTGGCAAGATTTGTTCAGAAGGGGTTTGACTTGTCCCAGGTCACTCAGTAGGTTTCAATGGCTGAGTGGAGTTCGAACCCTGAAGTCCAGAGTCATAGTCCAATGCTCATACTGCAACACCATATTGGATCTCCATGATCTAGTGAATAGCCACTCAATCCTGGTTTAAGCAATCATAGTGTGGGCTCAGGATTATGTTCTTCACAGCATTTTCCTCTTTCATGAATGCCATCCCTAAACCCAAATCATGTCTGAGACTCAGATCAGCACGAATGTTATTAATTCCATTCAAGTGAACTCTGACCTTTCCCTAGCCTATGACTAACAGATTTCCATTTCTCCCTATTATCAATAGCCTTGATCAGATCTTGCAAATCCATAGGACTTACTAAGCATGCACTTTACTTCAACACTGGGGCCCCTTCTAAACAGCTGAATAAAACCCCACATTTTCTGCTTTGAACTGGAATATATGGCATTGTGGACTCAGATAACCCAGTTCAATGCAGATATTCTGGGTTATATGGCTGTGTGGAAGGGCCCTGGATTTGTGTTTGTTTGTTTTTTCAAAAGATAACCCCATTCTTCATGTGCTCTTGGGCAACTTTCAAAAATTCAAAAGTTTTAATCTTTATGTTAACATTTTCCTTCTTAGCTGCTTTGAATTTTTCTTTTGAAAAGAAAATTAACATTTTTAAAAGCTAAAAAGCAAACAAGGAGTATTTTGGGAGGGTCAGTTTTCGTTTTAATATAACTATTTGAGCACACCCTCAAGAAGACATAATATTGGTTCATGGTTGTCCTCTCCACCCAGGAAGTAATGTAGTGTAACAATGGTATCATTAAGGTTAGCAGTGGATCTATCCATGTTAAAGGGTAAAGTCAATGCTGATAAATAAAAGTTATACCAATTATACCAAAGTCACAAGCATCCAAGTCATAGCATTTCTGATTGCTGCCTAACTGTGAAAGCAGGGTGGTGAAGAAAGCCTACAGGAAGAAAATCTACTCCTTTGAAACGAGGTGCTGTGGAAGAGTCCAACAAAATCATAAACTGCTAAAAAAGACAAATGCATGGATCTTACAGCAAAACAATGTTAAACTGCGGCTCTCATACTTGGGATATATAATGACATGCCAAACTCATTGGAAAAGGTGGTAATACTTTGTAGAAGGTTGAAGAAAAAGGAGGGAAGCCATATTACAGATAAATCAACTGAATCGAAAAGGCCACAGCTCTGAATTGGCTACATAGGTCTGTTGGCATCTATGGCTCCTGGAGGTCTCTCATTCACAGGGTTGTCATAATTCAAAGTCTAAAGGAAAATAGCAACAGCAAAGTGTGATAGACTAAGGGAAACAATCTGTGAGAACAGACTTCAGGAGCATTATTTCTAAGGAATGCAAAACACAAAGGGATAAACCTGGGTGTGCAGGATTTGTGGTAAATGGAGAACTCTAGGATCTATTCTGAGACTTGGAACCATGTAACATTCAGGTGATTTCACCATACCAGAATGATGGATACCCCAGGGCATTCACAAAACTTGCAGCACTTCAAAGTGGGAGAAGTATAATGGGAGAACATTGGAGGAAGTATTATTTCTGTTCAAAGCTATCGTCTTTTTAATATAAATGAGATATTTAATGAAGTTCTGAATTGTAGTCTTATCTTTCTTCGGTTTGATCAGCACTGGGGAGATTTACTGCATTGAAGGGTCAACACAATTACAATTGAAGGCACGTCATGCTGCAGGAGAATAATAAACTTGCCGTGCAAGTGAATTAGACTCAATAAGGTTTAAATTGTGAAATGAGGATTTGTTTTATTCAGGTTTTTTCTGACCTAAATTGCAGATTACAACTGACAGCTCTACTGAAAAGTAAATTAAACAATATACAAAGGCTCTGATGTAAAAGAATCAAAGGCAAATTTAAGAAGAAGAAAAAATGTAAAAAAAATTTGAAATGCTATTAAAATAGAGAAAGAGGGATATAATATCCAGGGACAGAAGTTGTATGCCAAGTATATTCGTGCAGACAAACTCTACTTTGTTTTAACTTTCTTCAAACAATGGATGAAAATTAGTTTAAATGACAAACATGACTTATTTCCCCAAGGAGATGGGACTGTATCTTCAAGTTTATATAACAAATTTCTAGTTCTTTATTAAGCCACATAATGTAGTCATTGCTTGAGAAATAATGAATATCTAAAAATGCTATTGAACTCCCAGCAGACATTTTTAAAGAAATGTGGAGAAAGCAGCAGCTTAGGATCCTACAGAGAGGAATAATCATTCACCCCAGGTAAACTAGTAAGCCTTAGTGTACAGAGGCGATAAACAAAGGCCCAATTGTTTAGATGGCTACTCTTTGAAAAGAGGACTGGAATGTCTTACCACTTTCATGGGAAAAAGCTTTATTCAGTGTCTAATTAACATATCAAAACCCAGATTTAAATCAAGACATCAACTGCCAGCCACACAAATATTTAGCTGAGGATATAATGCCTTTTATACACTAACAAAAAAAACCTTCTGAAAGTGTTGAGAAGACGACTGCACAGAAATCTTTTAAAAACACAGAGTGTTTTCTTATGCTTTTGTGTGCAAAGTTTGTCAAAGTGAATGTGTCAAAGTGAGGGCAAGGTCTGTTGATGTAAAGAGACAGAAAGTAGGGGTGGAACCAATCAAGGACAACTGTCACGTTATCGACTCTGGTAACTTTATTGCTCAGTTTAACACTGTCAAGCTTTCCTTTGTTTGTGGTGTTGTCCATTGCTGACTGGCACACACTATCAGCAGGACATCTCGCATCTCGCATGGGGCTTATCAGCAGGCGCTCTCAGTGGGATGCTCAAAACTTGGCATATCAAAAAACCTCACTCTGTGGCCATCAGTATGCCTCTCTCCTCCCTCCCTCCCTGTGCTCACCTCCATTTCTAAGTCATAGAGCTGGCATTGTCCATAGATGCCGCCAAGGTCATGTGGCTGGCAGGACTGCATGGAGAGCTATTACCTTACCTACTTATATTTGTATGTTTTCAAACTGCTAGGTTGGCAGAAGCTGGGGCTAACAGTGGGAGCTCACCCCATCCCTGGATTCGAACCGCCGACCTTTTGGTCAGCAAGTTCAGCAACTACCCTTAAATATATTATCAAAACAGGCACAATGAATATTATTGAAATAATGTAAATCGAGAACTTTAAGAAATACAGTAGATTCAATTAACTGGTCCATGGAGATTGGCAGATACCAGATAAATGTAGTTTCTGGTTGCTTAAGTGTCGCTAATAAAAATCAGCCTAACTAATACCACACACCATGCTCTATCATATCATAAACTCTGTATTGACTTGATATTAACACTGAAATATAATAGTTAAAAACAAATAAAGACAAACATAACACCATTTTAATGTATTATAGAAACAGCTTTTTATTTAAAGCATTCTTTATTTTATTTTTGTGCTGGTTGCTTGAGTTCTAGTTAACTGGGAGTTTTCTGTATGTTAGTTAGAAAGCAATCTTCTAACTAACAATCTGCTTCCCAGCACACACAGTGCATGATGAGAGAGCCAGGAATTACCCAGGCAAGACCAGGAGCTCTACAAATGTTAAATCCCAAGCAAACGTTTTCCCAAGAAACAATCTGTGGCATTTGAAGATTGGGCTTGAAGGCAGAAAGGGGACATGAATGTATGGTTGGTTGAGAGCTGCAGTAAGGAGAGTGACAGAAAAAGAACCCATATCTACCAAAATCTTATACAGTAGAGTCTTGATTATTCAACATAAATGGGCCGGCAAAATGCTGGATGAGCAAAAATGTTGAATAATAAGAAAGGATTAAAGAAAAGCCTATTAAACATCAAATTACATTATGATT